AAATTTTTGTATTAAAAATATTTTTAAATTTTAAATTTTTTTAATAATACCATTCAAACTCATTAAAAATTTTAAAAATATTCTTATCTGTCTTTTAAAGCTAAATTACAATTATACCCTTATAATTTTTAAAAATATTAAAAAAATACTTAACTTTTAAAATTTCATTGGTTAATATTTTAAATTTTTTTTTAGAGATATTTCATAAATTTATAAAATATAAAATTAAAAGTGGAGAGAATTATTAAATATTTTTTAAAGTATTAGACATTATATCAATTAACAAATAAAAATATTCTTATCGTTTTTTAAATTATCATTTTACCATTAATTTTTTTTAAATATTTAAAAAATACTTACTTTTAAAATTTCATTCATGTTCTTGCATTTTTTCATTAATTTTTTAAAATTTTTAGAAAATTGTTTAAAATATTTTTTAAAGAAATTTTTAGAAAATTTCGGATATTTATTAAATTTACTAATATAAAATTAAAAGTTGAGATAATTATTAAATATTTTTTAAAGTATTAGGCATTATATTAATTAATAAATAAAATTCAATATTTAAATAAATGTTGTTGATGGGTTGGATGTTCGAAATCTTTAAAATTTTAAAAATGTAAAATATCACCCATTGGTTAAGATATATATTTTATAAGAAAGGGTCAAACATTTAAATATATAGCGTTAATAGAGTCAATGTACCGCTCTCAATCATATGAACGTATTATCTATCGTGGGATGATTTTATAAGTTAGATATAACTCATGCGCCACTTCCCTGAGACCGGACCGTGTTCTATATTGAATGATACTAGAGACCGAGCCTAATTATTTGTGTATATGTTTATATTTATATCTCTAAAGAGGATACGTCATACCGCAGGTGCCCCACTCCAAAAGCATGATGCAGTCTCCGATGACCATCTCAACTTTCATCGGAGTCTGCGAAGAGTGGAAGGGCAGAAGTAAGACATTCTATGTTGTGAGTTATATCTCTCTGTTTGTGTGAGTGTCTGCTCTGAAAGTATAGTTTGTTATTCCAAAAGTACTAATTTGTGTTAAGTATGTCTGTTGAATGTTTTTTCCCTAAAGGGTAACGGAAATGGGTGAGTACTTTTTTTCGACTAATGAAAGATATAATAATATTTGTTTAATATTTTATTTAGTTTAACAACACTCGGGTGAAGTTTAAGCCTAAAATATATATGTTTTATTATATAATTTTAAGTATTAATACAATTTGACGTGAAACGAGTATAGTTGATTAAGACGTTCTCGATCCAATCGTCCCTATCTTTTCAATTCCATTCTCTTTGAATTTTAAAACGGACTTTTTTGGAAACCAAATATTCATGCCCATTCACAGGTTGATATTTTTTATCGGGTCAACCCGACCAATCCGAAAAACAGGGTTACAACCTAACTCAACCTTATTTTTAAGATTATTACGAAAGCTAATAGTATTCGACGTTCATAACCAATGTTTATGATGCGTTGTGACTTGTGAATGTTTGATATTTGAGTTTGATGAGATATTAGTTATTAACCGTGGATAACTATAATTTTTTAATAATAAAAAAATAATAATTCGACAACTCAACCGAATCCAATAAATCCGAGTTTGGTTGGATTCTAAATTCGTGTTTGGGTCATCAATTTAACCAATTCAATTGGAAATTTGAATTGATCCAAAGAAAATTCCAAATCATATACGCACATACTTCTGTTATCGACGTAACTTGTATAGTGAATAAATAAGTTTTTTTTACCCTTGTAAGAATTTAAAAAATTACAGTAAAAAAAAAAAAGCAATATATCAACCCGGGATTTTTTATCTATTCAAATAAGCAGACACACACGAAAGAATCTCATAAACTATAAATTTTAAATATCGTTATCGAGAATTTAATTCAATCCAAATCAAATTTATGGTCAACTTTGATAAGTAGAGTATTATTTTCTCAATTGATGGTTATTAATTTCTTATAATTAAGGAGATATGTCATGTACATCCATTACTTTAATAAGGGTGTTTTATGATCTGACAAACCTATTATTATCGGGCGAAATTGGGTTGAATTAGATTTTTTTTATTTCTGGTTGTTGGGTTGGATTTTTAAAAAATAAAAAAAATGGTCAATTCGCGAGAATAGATTTTAATTTGGTTAGGTAAACTCGACAGACCAAAAAATAAGATTCTTAAGATCGTTAAAAGATTAAAAATATTTGACTTTTGTAATCGATCTTAGTAATGCATTTAAAGGTATAATATTTGAATGTTATGAGACATTATTGATTAATATAACACGTTTGGGAGAATTAATTTTTTTTTTAAATAATTAAAAAAAACAAATGAAAATCCAATCCAAACCTAATCGAGGATTGAATGGTGAACTCTATTCATAGGATCTCAGTCACCCATCTAACTAACCAATTTGAAATTTCATCTGTGACATATATTTATATATATATATATATATATTACAATATTTTACTTCATTTTTCATTTAAATTTATAATTATTATTAAAGCGAAAAATTCTTTAAAATTTTAAACATAAATTGAGATATGGAATATTGTAACGTTAATCCAAATGTCTCTCTATAAATATGAATAAATTCTTAAAAAAAAATTAGAAATAATTTTTTTTTTTATAAATGTTTAAGTATGAATAATTAATTAATTAATTAATTTACGTTTTTACCCCTTACATCCAAAAATAAAATTTAAAAAAAGTGATTTGACAACGGAGCATTGTATATAGCAAATAAATACGTAACGGGAAATGTCGACATATTACATTAGCCATCAATTTTATCCTTCTTCCAATCATAATTTTCTCTTTTTCTTTATTTATTATATATATTATTGTAAACCAAAAAAAAAAAAAAAAAAATTAAAAGAAAATTATACTTTTCACATTTTTAATTAATTATAAATCCTATAATTTATAATGTCGGCCAAGATTCGAGCCTCTGTCTAACAAATTTGGAATTCATGTGACCAATAAAACAATTAAAACGTGCACTCTACACGGGCCAGGATGGAGAAAAAAAATTGTTTTTACAACTTAATTGGTAAAAAATCATATCATATAGTATTCAACTGTGATGTCTCACATTAGTTGGGAGGGGGGAACAAAACTCCTTTTAGAAGGGTGTGAAAATCTTCCCTTAACAAATGCATTTTAAAGCTTTTCGGAGAAGACCGAAAGAGAAAACTCAAAGAACACAATATCTGCCAATGGTTATTAAAATAAGCATGAAGTAGGATATCAGAGCAGGGCGGGTGCGGATATTGGTGAAACAGGAATGGGAAATATAATTTTCGTCATCGGTCATGTTTAGTTAACAATGAGAAATATCCTCCTGCTCCCTCTCTCATTCTCAATTTAAAACGGTTTCCTTCTCCAAACTCCAAAGGCCTCGATGCTATGTCACAACCACACACTGGTATGACTCGCAATAAAATTGTACGCCACTTTATTCTCACTTTCGAATAAGTCAACCAACTAGAATTTGGATTGCCAGAGTTGAAGTTCACGAGTATTAATTTTCCACCAGTATGGACATGACAAGGAGCAAGACAATGTCATCCACTTGTAATATTTGACATGTCCTAACCCGTATGTAAGTTCAAAAGCTGTGGCTGTGGCTGTGCCCTATGCCTTTGTCTATCCATTATACTGCTCTTCTTTCTTTTTCACGAAACAAAAAGCTGCCGCGGCCTGGCCTTCCCACAGTCCGTTTGGCTTCTTTTAATGCAAATGGCTCTCTCATGGCCTATTTATGTGCTTTGTCTTCATCTTATAGTCCTATTGCACACACAAAACATGAATTTGACTATACTGTTAAATTCACCCCTTTCTACTCCAACTTGATTCGTACCGCTTTAAATTGATTCCCATTTCGTCTTTGATTTGGAGTCGACTCTTCTGGTACCTGCGTAAAACTTTCACTTTCATCTCGTTTCTCCTGTTTTTTTTTTACCTAGAATAATTGATTTTAACATAATTTTGTCAAGTTAGTAAAATATGTCTTATTATGTTCGAACTCTAGAAATCAAATTGAAACTCTGTCTATATCATAATAGATGTAGGATACGAACAAGAATGACTTCTCCATCCCCATCTTTGCCAAAATTATCTCAAGAGATTCATGTTCTCTTGCTTACCTATAATAAAAGAAAACTCAAATTTTTGAAGAAAATAGTTATCAAAGAGATGGAGGGATCCATTTAGTTACAAGAAATTTTTCCCTACCCATATATTATCAAATCGTTTAACCTAATTTTTATCACGTATACGATAATTTATCTAATTTACCGTATAATTCACATGATTTTGATTCTCTAATCTAATGAATTATATGTACTACACACAATTTTCTAAGTAAGATAGACCTTCCATGGAAATTTTTGCCCTCTATTTACATTCGGTAAAGAAAGAAAGAAAAAAGTCCCTCTATTCCCTTTTAACTTAATCAGAAAATTCATTCTACTCAGTCAAGAAATCATGTGATGTCCCACATTGGTTGGGGAAGAGAACAAACCACTAGTTATAAGGGTGTGAAAATCTTCCCCTATCATACACGTTTTAAAACCTTGAGGGGAAGCCCAAAGAGGACAATATCTGCTAGCGGTGATCTGGGGTGTTACAAATGGTATCAGAGCCAGGTTACCGGATGATGTGCCAACCTTCTCTCGCTTTTCCTTGAAGGGGGGTAGACACGAGGCGGTGTGTCAGTAAGAACGCTGGCCCCGAAGGGAGGTAGATTTGGAGGCGGTCCCACATCGATTGAAGGAAGGAAAGAGTGCCAGCGAAGACGCTGGGCCCCAAAGGGGGTGGATTGTGATGTCTCACATCGGTTGGGGAGAAGAACAAACCACCCTTTATAAGGGTGTGGAAACTTTCCCCTAGCAGACGCGTTTTTAAAGCCTTGAGGGAAAACTTAAAAGGAAAAGCCCAAAGAGGACAATATCTGCTAGTAGTAGATCTAGGGCGTTACAAATCATCAGGTAAACATGTTCCATTTTTCATAAGATACGATTTTCGAGTCAGTGCACTAGTTTGGACTTCTAAATTTTTTTCTGCAAGTACAATATTAATAAGGAGTTTGAGAAAACTGCAATATGATAATAACAAGCATGAGAAAGGTTATTATAAATATATCCTTATCAGACCAGAATGGCTTACCCCAGATGGGAAAAAAGCTACCTGATTGGGGCTCTTGATCGTTTTATATGAACACCATAGAAGACAAGCTGCATTTTTTATTAAAAAGGTTTTGCTGCTGCTTCCATCATCTTCTTCACTCTTATCAGCTTTTCTATCTCCTTCAGAGCCTGTTACATAATAAGTCATTGATGCAGAGCAACTTACTGGTTAGAGTAGCTATAACATTCCAAAATTCTCTGGAATTTGAACCAAAATAAATTCTAAGGTTGAAGTTTAGTTAACATTCCAAAATTAATCTTGTATTTTTGAATTTAGTTAACAATATGAAAACTATGGTAATGATTAAAAGAAGAATAGTTTTCAAAAACAAAAATAAAAAAAATCAAATGGTTATTTATACGAGGCTAAATAGTAGGTTTATTAACTTGAGTTCAATAGGTTTTTTAAATTTAAAAGTATATACTAGGTATTTGTATTTTTTTTTTTTAATTTACAAACCTGCTTAAGATATTACTAGACATAAAATTCAAGCAAATAGACAATTTTTTTTAATGTTTTAGTAACATATAAGACACAATATTAAAAACTCACTTCTTTTTTACATTTTTAAATTTTTTACATTTTTAAAATGGAAGGGCATTTTAGACAAACATAAAAGTTTAAAAACTAAACGCATAACTAACAAGATTATAGTATATAAAGCTGGAAGGTAAAACTTTTTTTTTAATGAAAATTATGGTTCCAATTCCAACTCAGTAGTTAATGGGGGCAAGTATAAGTAGTGCAAGGATTCACACCTCCAAAGCCATGTCTTCGGTTGTAACAGCATTGAAGTCATCGTATCCTAATGTACTTGCTAGTTCTGTGAGGCATGGAAATGTTAGAAGCCAGAATATGCATGAAATCCTGGATCATATTGCAAGTGTGGGAAGGATCAGAATCACATACTTTGGAGTGATATTGAAGCATCAGCCGTGGCATATCCTACTTTTATTTCTTGGTATAGGGAAGTTATTTGACCCAGCACCTGAGTTATACACAAGAATAGCAAAAGGAATGAAAGATTTCTATGGTTTCAAATCATGAAAAAAAAAAGAAGAAAAAAAAGCACCAAGAAAGGTGAATTCAAAACCTAAGTAGAAAATTCAAGCAGATTTAGAAGATTCTAGAACAATAATTTCATGAAAACATGTTGGCATAGCTGTTCTGTAACGACCCAGGCTCACCGCTAGTAGATATTGTTCTCTTTGGGCTTTCCCTTTCGAGCTTCCTCTCATGGCTTTAAGACACGTCTGCTAGGGGAAGGTTTCCACTCCCTTATAAAGGGTGTTTTATTCTCCTCCCCAACCAATGTGGGACATCACAATCCACCCCCCTTCGGGACCCAGCGTCCTCGCTGGCACTCGTTCTTTTCTCCAATTTGATGTGAAACCCCACCAAATCCACCCCCTTTTGGGGACAGCGTCCTTACTGGCACACCGCCTCGTGTCTACCCCCTTCGGGGAAGGGCGAGAAGGCCGACACATCGTCCGGTGTTTGGCTCTGATACCATTTGTAAGGACCTAGGCCCACAACTAGTAGATATTGTCCTCTTTGAACTTTCCCTCAAGGCTTTAAACCGCGTCTACTATGGGAAGGTTTCCACTCGCTTGTTCTTTAAAAATTGTTTTTATGGATGACGTGTTATTTTGGAAAAAATTAAATTAGTTTTCTATTCAAATTCATAACTCTGTAAATAGAAATTTTAGAAAACCACTAGTTTACAGTTGTCAAAAATGGGTTAAAGAAGGTGTAAAACTATTTCGCAAACCACTTTCAAGTCCAAACAAACCCTTAATTACCTCTGAATAAGATCCAGAAGTAGATATATCAAATACTGGAAGTTGCCCACGATCTTCAGCAAATTCCTCTGCTATTATCTGTAGGGGTATATCAATCCATAACGTTATGCCATGCCTCAAAAGCGCCCTGCATGTAAAATGTTTATCAAATGTCAACATGAACATAACAATACTGAAAATTGCCTTAGGGAACTACAAAGAAAAGTTTCATAGAAAAATGGGTGAACTAAACCAGAAAAATTAAGCATTAAACATTCATACAGATTAGTAGAGCTCCGAACAGCACCATTTCCAGCACAAACAACTAGTCGACCCATTGAAGATAATTGTTTTAACACTTCAGTCTGCAACAAATGGCATGTCAGGTACCTGTTACTAGATTTTATAGAGAATTTAAAGAAAGTGTCTTGTTAAGCATTACCCAAGGACGTTCAATAAGTGTCCTCAAGTACATGAGCCTCAATGTTTTCACAGGCAAGTGAACACTCATTAACCAACCACCAGTAACCAAAAATGAAAAAGAAAAAGAAAAGGAAAAAAAAAATGTAGCTCAATAAAGATACTACTAAACCACCAGTTTTGACCAAATAATTTCTGAGCGGATGTAACAAAGCATCACCAATAAACATGAGTTAATTACCTCGGATGCCCGAAAACCATTTTCATCACTCTCCTTATAAAGTTTGGCAGCAGCCACACCACCACTAGCTTCCACAACCAAACCATCACTATATGCATTTGCATATGACATATGGAAATTCAGAATTAGCAATGTTAGGAAGGAGAGCAATACCACATGCCAAAATGAGAAAAAAGTACCTCAAGAAGTACCTGTCAAAGTAATAATATCTCAACATATCAGCAAGGAGTTTCCCCAACTTAGTTTTTAGGGAGCTGTTGATCCCTACATGAAAATTTTACATACATTAGTTTGTTATAAATATAAATTGCCCCAAAATAGAAGATCAATGCTTACCCACGAGAAAGATGGAAGTTCCTTTCAATTCAGGAGCTACATCCATTGCTTTCTTCTGAATTCAAACTGAACAGTGTAAATAAACACTTCAAGCTACAAAAAAAATGAAGCCAACTAAAACCAATCTTATCGCACCATCACGAAACAAGACTTAAATAGAGCAAAAATTAAGAAAAAAATGGATTCTCTGAGGCTTAAAACTTATGTTTCCTCCATTCTTTCTGTTCACTAACCTTCACTTCAAGAGACAGATCATCGGTAGTGGCCTTTGCCTCCACATCTAACAAAGGCCAAAATAAATCACTGAGTAAAGAGAGATGAAGCTCAAACTAGAGAATTCATACTTTACATTCTTATTCTTAAAATGATTGGCTGAATTAGATATCAATTTAACTCCAGTCTCCAACTTCAGACAAGCGCGTTTCACTAAATTGCACAGATTTGCAGCAGTATTCGGATTAAACTAACTAAGGCTCTTTTTTATCTGTCAATCATGATTTCTAGCATACTAGAGAATCCAGTTCCAAGTGAACTAACCGACCTATGAATTGCACTATCCTAAAGCAGAGACAACATTCATAAACCAATTAACTGAATCATAGTTCACTAGAGGAAAATTCAAAAGCCATTTCTATAAATTCACCTTGGTGAAACAATAGATGTAATCGAACTACGGAAAAAATTGAGTCGTCGTGAGAAAAAATGATGCACAAACAGATTACAGAGTTACTCTACGGACGAAAATTAATTCAAAACTTGAACTCACTGTATGCAGTTCCGTCTGATACGAAACAAGTCGACGGCAGAGATCGACGGCGCTGAATGACAGAAGAGTGCAGAAATCGTCGGCGAAAATGAAGGGGGAGGTTTTGATTACAACGAACTGAGAAGGGCAGGGGCAAGGCGTAGCTCGAATTCAGAGACATTGGTTGAATTTTTGGCAAGTGGATATTGAATTGGAAATCAGTAAGCGGAGAAACGGTGGTTTTCATCGCCATGAGAAGCTCGCTGGGGACAGAAAACGCTCCACAGAAAGCACTTTATCCTTCCCAGTTCCCAGCTCCACAGTCGCCGGCCCGAGTCCATATCATTTTCCACATTAATTATTGTTCAATTAATAAAAATATTCATAATATATATATATATATATATATATATATATATATATATTATGTGGATTTAAAAATCTCACCTAAATACAGATAATAATTTTTAATTATAAACTCCGAAAAATATTTATTAGAATTTTAATCATAATTTTAAATTAAATAAAAATTAAAAATAAAAAAATAATGAATTCAATGATAACGAATAATAATGATGTTTAAGTAACAAATTTCTTTTTAATATCACTATTGTATTATCGAGAAATACCAAATTTATCGTGATAATGTAACTGAAGTCTATTAAAGAAGAATATTAATTTATTAGTGATAAACTTTAGTCGCATATTTAAATCTACCTGTGATATTTCTCTAAGAATGGATCAAACGAATAAATATGTTAACTTACCATCAACAATAAAATACGACTAATAATCGTTGATCGACACCAACAATAATCGACTAAGGATTGTTGATCGACGCTAAAAGTATAAGAATTATGGTTGATATACTCTGAAAATTGATATATCAATTACTACTATACGATTGTTAGATCGTAGTATAGGATTCAATATAGGTATAGAAATGTATAATATTTCCATAATAATTTGGTATTAAATTGGAGATAAATTGCGACCCTCGATCAGTTTTTTCCCTGCGTGTTCGGTCATAGTTCTTTGCGATCGTGTCCCAATCTCTCTCACGTTGCCAACGATCAGCGGGGCCCTCCTCTTACGAATCTGACAATCTATTTCACTTTCTGTGGTACCTGCTCTCATCCTTCGCCCATCGCTCGTCGTTTTTGCTCTTCTATCTCTCTAGGTACGTTGTCCTTGATCCATTTCTCTCGATCTTTCACTGGTTTTTACTCAAAGCATCCTACGGTTTTGTTTTCTATCCAGGCTTACTTGGATTTGTAAGGGCTTGGATCGCACCGATTGGATCTTCTCCGATTAGATTCAAGGATCGCCAAGATGAATGACGCTGATGTTTCCAAGCAGATCCAGCAGATGGTGAGGTTCATCCGCCAGGAAGCTGAGGAAAAGGCCAACGAGATCTCTGTTTCTGCTGAAGAAGTATATTTGGCGCTTTATTTTCTCCATTTTCTTTGATTTCTATTCATTTCCGCTTCTGGATGGCCGGATTTACTTAAGAATTTCTAGGTTTCGTATGTGCTATGTATGTGTTTGTCTGTCTACATTGACTATTGAACAGAAGGAATGGATTTTTGTTTTTTTTTTTCCTCTTGCAGGAATTCAATATTGAAAAGCTGCAGCTGGTTGAGGCAGAGAAGAAGAAAATCAGGCAAGAGTACGAGAAGAAGGAGAAGCAAGTTGAAATTCGGAAGAAGATGTAATTACTTGGACTTTTTCCTCATAATCTGCTTATTACAGTTTCATTATTCATGTTTCTCAGTGGCTTGGTCTGTTATGGTGCACAATTTTCAATTGCTGGAAAGATCTTTTTCCTTATTTATTTCAATCTTCCTTTTGTTATAATTTAAAGAGGATGTAGTTGCTGAATTACATCTTCGTGTAATTGATGCTTTGTTTCAGCGAGTACTCCATGCAGCTCAATGCTTCTCGGATCAAAGTTCTGCAAGCACAGGATGATGTAGTGAACTCCATGAAAGAGGCAGCGTCAAAAGAACTTCTTAATGTCAGCGGAAATGAACATGTCTACAAAAATCTGTTGAAGGAACTCATTGTTCAGGTTAGTAAATTCCAAACCTCATCCACATTAAAGAATTACTTATTATTTGATGTAGTTAAATTATAATTCATAAAGTTTGCTGCGTGTGTGATTATTTGCTGGTTATTGTTCTTTAGAGTTCAATGTGAGAGCTACTCAATGTTGTTTATTTACGAGATTATAAGTTCACCAAAGAGAATTCCACACAAAAGATTTGTGCTTGATAAAAAGGAACTTTAAATATCCAGAATAAATCTCTGGTTTGCATTACTCTGGTTGGATAAAATTATCTATTTGTAAGGCATCAAATTGAATTACAAATCACCCGATAGACGATGATTGAGTTTTCTTTTCTCAATCTTTTTGTTGATGGCTGCTGCTTAGAATGCATTGTGGAGGTTGATCTTCCTGTTAAGATTTTGAGTTTGTATGGTTGCTATGGGATAAATATGCTTACAGATATACTAGTTGTGTAATCCACTGCCTCAAGTCTGTTTTTTATATAGAGCTTGCTTCGACTGAAAGAGCCAGCAGTTTTGTTGCGATGCCGCAAAAGTGACCTCCATTTGGTGGAGTCTGTGCTGAGTTCAGCAGCATATGAATATGCAAATAAAGCGGAAGTTCACGAGCCAGAGATCATTGTTGACCATGTCCATCTTCCACCTGGTCCAAGCCATCACCATCATCACGGTCTCTTTTGGTAATCCTTCCTTTTCATTTTTGTAGGATTTAATTTGTTACAACGTTCCTGCTTCTGATTACTTTGTCAGTGGTTGATGTCTTTCTCCGTAAACGGTTATAATTTATTCCAGCATTGGAAAAATTGTGTGTTAAGATTGCAAATTAACTTTTGCATACTTTGCCTGCCAGGCATCGTATTTTTCAAGGGTGGTAGCTAGTTACTCCTGCCCCGGGGGAGGGCACATACTTTTTTTAGAAGAAAGATAACTAATTACTCCTGCATCTCGGTACAATATGCAGATTGTACCCTTCTATTTAGACAATAGTTTTAAACAGCCCATGTTTTTTATTTCCAAGTCTGTGAATTAAACCATTCTGATAAAGTTTACCGTTGCTTCGATAGAGATTGTTGTTTCCTATCCAAAAAAAAAAAAAACTTTGATGGAGATGGTGCGCTTGACCTATTCTACTTAAGCCCATGTTTGCTGATTCTATTAAAAACTAGCTGTCTTAATGTATAGAAAGATTCAGGTTGTACATTTTGCAAACTACGGGAGTGCTTAATATAACTCAAAATACAAGAATGCAATGTAGGAAATTCAACAGGAATATAATCGACAATGTTCCCTTTGAAATTGTTTGAAGCCTTGTATTGTAAGATTTTTGCCTTTTGGTTCTGTACTCACCAATTTTCTTAGAAAAGTCAAGAAAATATCTGTAAACACTTCTAATATCAAGTTTTGATCGTTCAGTTCTGGAGGTGTAGTAATGGCATCTCGAGATGGGAAGATTGTTTGTGAGAACACCCTTGATGCTAGGTTGGATGTCGTGTTCCGTAAAAAGCTTCCTGAGGTAGTTTCTCTTCTCAACTATACCCTACTACCTATTATTGGATGCTAATTACATTGCCAAATGCTTGTGGGTATCTGAAAAACTCAAGGCCATGTATCATTTTTAGAGAGGAAAAAAGATTTACATTTATAATATATATATATATATATATATGTATGTATGTATGTATGTATGTATTTATTTTGCTTGATGACAAGGAGTAAACCCAATGTTAACAGGTCATGCACTGTTTGTGATTCTTTACTGACTACTCAAATTTTGCCCTGGATGCATAATGTTAAATTATGGTTAATTAAGCCTAGCTTGACAATAAAGAGTTCGCACTGTAACCTTTTACTAACCTAATATTATCTACGACACAATTCCTTTACTTTATATTAGCTTTCAAAGGCAAATTCTTTATTCGGGGATGTTAATATTAATTTTTTTAATAAAATTGTACAAATACTGTATTTTGGGCTGTTTGCATTCTATCTTTCTTTTATCACCAGCTCACCAAGTGTAAGTTCTATATCAGGCCAACAATTCTTGTCGATGATTATTTCGTTTCTCCATTTTGTCATAACGTTCACATTTAAGAGTACTTACAGCTGCATTTCTTATTGGCAGATCCGAAAAAGCCTTTTCAGTCAAGTTGCTGCATGATGTGTACTGCTTTCGACTCTTTCATGGTGCTTCCTGTGAAATAATTTATGAGTCCAAATTTGGTCTTTTAATGCGAATTATATGTGTCCCAAATGTTGCTTATCAATAAGTATTGCATTCTTTGATTTTCTTTATCTGATAGTTACTATTGTTCTTGGTGTTTGATTCACAGCTCTACGGGGAGTTTGGTGCCCCCTATCGACTCCATAGTATTTCTGGTATCAGTATTATTCCAGCTTCATATTTCCTTTAGTTTTTAAGTCTTTTCTTATGTGCACATCATTCAGACTACTGTCCTTATAATGTAATATGACATTTCTCTTCTAAAGGCTGTTGTTTCAAGTTATGTCTTGATCCTCGTTGGTATAGTTAAGAATAATAGTTTATCCTAATTTGATTTCCCTCATCTTATCATGCATTTTCTAGAACGATACTTTTTACAACTAATGAGTCGGAAAATATCCTTACCTTTAGTTTTGGATGGATTAGGTTATACCAGCTTGTTTGAACGAAAATTATTCTTGGTTGATCTTAAAAATTATTTTTGGCAAAAGAACCAGTTTTTCCTCAATTATTTTCTTCATGGGAGGTCTGTAATTTTAGAAATTGTTCATCCTTGATAGATAGGGACAGGACTTGATCTGTAATGACCTTGAATCTCATACATATGCATTATCCCTCTTGATATCTCACCTATTGTTTATAGTTTATTTTTCATGGTTGTAATTCAACCAGTCCCATAATTTATGAATTTCTTTCCTGTTCAAATATAGAATATATGATTATATAAGTTGAAAGAATCTTACTATCAAGCCTTTTGAAAATTCGAGATATCAACAAGGAGGACACTTCATGAGGGAATTTCATTGAAGCCTAATGCCAAGGTTATAAGAATTTGTGGTCTTTTCCATAAAAGCATCTTATCTTGAGCTTTGATGCTTTGCCTGACCACTTTTGTAGGCTGATCTTCATGTGTAGATTCCGTAAAATGTTCCAGGTTTTTTTTTCTTTTTCTTCTCTACCATTCATGTGACACCCGAGTAAAGGAGTGATTCATGAATGAGTTGAGATCACATCCAATTAAAAGAGATCTTGAGGATAGGATAATTAGGGAGCTTGTGACACCCAAGTAAAGAAGTGATACAT